AAATAATGATATGCTCATTCATAATTACTTTCGAATTTATTTATACCCTATCTTTCTCGACTGAGGTTTGTAAAAGATAAATGAAACTTGGAATTAAGCTTTATTGTTTATCAGTTTAATTAGATTTATAAATTAATTCTGTTTTCATATTCGTAGATATTAATCGAAAACCAACTAGCACTAATAAACTATCTCTTATTCTGAGAGCACATTTAATATCTGGATTAAAAGTCTTGTTGTTATTATTAACTATTTTTTTTCTTGATTCCATTTGATTAAATCGTTTAATGTTTACATAATTAAGTTTAAGGGTAATTTATTCTTAGTTTTAAAATCGCAAACACTTATTTTTTGCTTTCATCACAGTTACTTAAAGATATAACCTAAGATTTATGTACTAGAACATATTATCATATACTTAATCTGCTTTAATTAGTCTAATTTACTAATTTCTTAATTAAATTTGTATTTATTCTAATTTTGATCCCTCACCTTTTTTAATAATTGATTAACTATTTAATAAAGTAATATTAAAAAATTAATATTATACAAATTCTTAACTTCTTCAATATTTAAATATATAATTAATCATTTTCTAGATTTAAATGAAGAAATTAATTTATTGATTATTTAATCTTTTTAGATTTTAGTTGGTTATAAGCAATCAAATAATTTAGATTTATTTGATTAGTTTTTTATGCAAATTATGAAAATATATATTATCAATTGAATTTATTAATTCTTTAGTTAATTATTTTCGAAATATCAAATATACTATGATTATCAATCCAATTTGAGCATCAGAAAACAATTTTGAATGAATTCAATAGTCAATAAGACCAAATCGGCATTTCTTTTAAATCATCAATAAGGAGTTACAATAATTATGAATTCATTTGACCTTATTGTTTCAAGACAATATGCTTGGCCTTTTAAAAACAGATAAAAGTTACCGCAAAAATTTGAAAAGTGAATGATGCTAATCTGGAATAGTATTATAGTTTTTATCATCCATTATATTATTAACTACATTTACTTCCTGTATAATAGATTGCAAGTTCACTTGAATTTGTGAATCAATATCAGGTATTTCCAATTAAGTTTATTATTACGATTTAACTTTTAAGAGCCTAATTTAAGCCGATCTTTCGAGTCTTTAAAATTTATTAATTCATCAAGTCTTTTAATAAGTGTGTTCCAACTTAATCTGAACAATAGTCTAACGTTGTATCATAAAATATTATTTGAAAATACTTTGAAACATTTAACAAATGGTTTTAGTTTTGCGATTTTCCTTGCCTTTTTATTATTTCTATACTATTTTAAAGAATTTCAAATAGATTCAATTACCTATTTTATATTATTATCAATTACATCTTGATGATAATATTAATCAACTAAATCAAAACGAAACATTTGTAAGTCAAATTCAGCCTTAAATTTTAATATTTTGTTTTATATGTATGTTATTGTATTTCAATTATCATATTTGATCTCTTTTATGAATTCTTCCTTTATATTCATATTATCTCTTTTCATTTCCATCAATAAATCAACTTTTATTCCCATTTTTATATTCACCAATAAATATTGCTTCGGAATAAATTACAAATTATCCATCATTTCAACCTAATTAACAAACTTTACTCAATTCCCTGTTTCATGATATAATCTTCCACCTCTAAAATAAATTGTTATTCCATACTAATATAAAACTATATCATATATTTTTACATTTTCTTTCTAATAATAAAGTCCCATAATCCAAATTTATTACTATTTAGTACATAACTTAAAAACTCTCACCATAATCTTCGCTTAGCTCCACTCAGTAAAAAACTTTATCATCTTACCTTAGTGTGATTAATGATCTTGCTCCTCTAAATACTATTAAGTTTTTTAATTATTCTAATTTATATTCCAATCAATAATTCGTTTTTTATACTCATAAAAACTCTATTCAATGATATTCCTCTTATTAAATTAATTTATTTATACTTTTTCAATACTCCCAAAAGTTGGAACATTAATCATTTTTATAAATTAAAAAAGTGATTTAGTATTTAGTCAAAATTAAAGTTCTAGAATCAGAAGCTAATCTTATAAGTAAAGAAAAAGACTAACAATTATTGAAATACCAATGTTTCATAAAGTCATAAGGGAAATAACCTTTTATGTAGAATTTGAAGTAAGAAATACTGTTATCAATATTGTATTTTTTCTAAAATTTGCTTTACATCTATCAATATTCATTTAATTATCTACTCTAAAAAAGAATAGTAAGATTCTCTATAGACCTATGAATTTTCTACCGCAATAATGTCAGGTGACCTGATTCATTTTTATGATTATAATTTAAAAAAGGATTTCCTCAAATTTTTCATAACAGCAAAACTATTATAATTTAAATATCAATCTAAATTAGTCAAAATATATAGCTTCATTAGTTTTTATCTTTGATTTCCGCATTATGCTTGAAAAATCTAAATATAAAGATTTAAATATACTTTTACAATTATTGTTGAATCATTATTAAACGCTATGACAATAAATCAAAAGAATTTAAGAGATAAATATATATTTAATCAAGGAAAATGAAAATATTTTTCATTTTAAATTTTAACATATTGAGATTTAGATATTTTACAAAAAATATTACTTTAAAAGATAAGTTAAACTGAAAATCACAACAACAAATTATGGATATTAAATCTTAAAAAGAATAATAAAACTATTCATAACTCAGATCTCTTGTAAACTTAAGATTCATCATGTTTAAGGCAAGTGAATTACAAGAGTAACATCCTAAGATTAGATTAAACATATCATTTTTGTATATTAAACTAAATGGCGTTAATAAATCAAACTATATTGATTTAATGATCAATAAGTTGATGAATCTAAAACTTATATGGTTATTAATAATAAATAATATTTAATTCGCACATTATTTGGTTGCAAATGTTAAGGAGACAACTCTTTAGGACATGATATTATTAAAAACCAGTTGAAAGTGATTTTCATGTTGATCTGGGGATCGAAATTGTTATTACTTAAAATTAAAAAATATAAACTAACTTATAAGTCTGAAAAGCTCAAATAGATATGATTTTTTCCAATTCGATGCTAATTAGTCTTATTTGCAAATCGAATGTAGACATAACTCAAGGATTTAATTTAACTTCAATTAATTCAATAGTAATTTATTGCTTATAGAAAATAAGATCAAAGAATAATTATTCTGATTTTATTATCTTTTATAAAGTTCAAATTCTCTAATAAATAAAAATCAAGTAAGAAAATTTTAAAGGAGGTTGGGATGTATAATTATGGAAGAGTAACTACAGAATCTATTTGCATAGTATGAAGATAAATATCAAGTAATTAATCAATACTATTGATTAACAAGCTGATGCTGACAGTAGCCTCATTCAGATAAGTTTGTTAGAGTTTAACTACTACATAGGTTCAGGACATAATTATAAGCCTGATTCGATGTGATTTTTAGCACTAAAGGTCATTAAAATTTGAGATGATAATACTATATTTTTATAGTTTCTCACATCCATTTATTATGTTTCTTAGGGAGTCAGTATTATCAAATATATGCACTCTCTCAAAGCCCTTTAATATCTTAAATAAATTATTCTGATAACAAAATAGATTCTGGGTTTGGTTTTAAATATTCTTTATAATTTTATTCTACTTAAATTGAAAATTGATAGATAGGATTACAATCAAATTTTGTTACAATCTTCATTAAAAATTAAGATCATTATTGTTGATTTTTATACCCCATAAAAAATTATTCATCTTTGAAATATTAATATTTCTCCACAACATTTTCAAAATAATTTTTTAGCATTCATCAATATTGCCATCAGTTGAAATATTATAGTCTCTTTCATGGGAAAGAGCATCAGAAAATAAAAATATTCATAGTAATCTATCTTAATAATGAGAAAAAATAATTTTTTTTTATTTATTCGAACTAAGAGAGTACATCCTTTTCTGCTTCATCTCCCTTCACTTCTTCTCTTTAGATAAAGTTCTAGATTTTTTTGTAATACTTCAATAAATTAGCTTGTCATTCCTAACACTTATTTTCAAGTTATATAACATTTAAATTTCTTTTATTCTTTTTTAATATTCAATAGGTATATTGCCATATATGAGTCATCTAAGCTTAAAATTACCATGTAAATTACATCTTTTTTATGATTTTTATTAAAAAGATTACAAAAATCGAGTGCTCTCTAGTTTTTATTTCTGTAACCTAAAAAAGCCACTCCAACTTGATATCCATCAATTGAATTATATAATAATCGACTATTTTAGCTATTGTTTTCTTCATACTATTTTTCTAAAGTTTCATAGATTTGGGTAAATCCATTTTAAAAACATCAATAATAATTTATTCTTATGGCAACTTTTTTCATAAGCAAATACTGGTTTTTGGTATTCTACTTCATTGAAATAATGAATTTATTTTTTCCTTCATGAACAATAGCCACTACTAATTTAAAAAGTG